CACAGGAGTACTTTCCCTTTTTGCTCATAGGTGGATTTTTGTATCTGCAGACTCTTATACTGCATTGCTTAGTTTTATTATTTTTTATTTGATCTTTTGTTTGTTTCTCGTTGTTCTTTCAATAGGTTTATGAGTGCTTGTCCTTTAGGGATTGATGAAGGCCAACAAAACAATCTATTCCACTGATTAATAAAAGCAGTATGCACATTGTGGAATGCATGATTAATTCAGAGAAGCATAAAGGTGAAATTAAATATCACCTATAATTCCACAGCTCAAAGATAAGCACTGTTAACATTGAGGTATTTTTTCCTGTTCTTTTAAATGAATACCTTTTTTAAAAAAAATACAGAGATCATAAGAAATATATAACTTGGGACCAGGCATGGTGGCACATGCCTGTAATCCCAGCTATTCAGGAGACAAGGCATGAAGATCCCAAGTTAGAGGCCAGGCTCAGCAACTTAGAGAAAACTGTCTCAAATTAAAAAGTAAAGAGTGCTGAGAATGTAGCTCAGGGGTAGTACACTTGCCAGGGATGTGTGACACCCATCCTGCGAAAAACAAAACAAGAAAGAAAAAAGATATATAGTTGGGTCTTTTTTTTTTTATTGCTTTTATTTATTTTAATACCCTTCCCATATATGACTATTTTTTAAAAATTTGTTCTAATTAGTTATGTATGAGGTAGAGTGCATTTTGATGTATCATACATAGATAGAGTATAACTTCTCATTCTTCTAATCATACATGAAGTAGAGTTACACCAGTTCTGTAATCATATATGCATATAGTGTAATAATGTCTGATTCATTCTACTAGCCTTCCTCTCCCAAACCCTCTCCCCTCCCTTTACTCCACTGTTTAATCCAGTGTACCTCTGTTCTTCCCTCTCCACCACCCCCAATCCCCTTATTGTGAATTAGCATCCGCATATCAGAGAAAACATTCAGCTTTTGGTTCTTTGGGATTGGCTTATTTCACCTCCCATGATATTTTGCAGTTCTATCCATTTACCTGCAAATGCCATAATTTCATTCCTTTAAGGCTGAGCAATAAGCCATTGTGTATATATACCACAATTTCTTTATCCATTCATCTGTTGAAGGTCACCTAGATTGGTTCCATAGTTTAGCTGTTGTGAATTGAGCTGCTATAAACATTGATATGGCTGCATCATTGTAGTATGCTGATTTTAAGTCCTTTGAATATATACCAAGGAGAGGGATAACTGGGTTAAATGGTAGTTCCATTCCAGGTTTTCTGAGGAATCTCTATACTGCTTTCCATAGTAGTTGCATCAATTTGCAGTCCCACCAGCAGTGTATGAGTGTACCTTTTTCCTCACATCTTCACCAACATGTATTGTTCCTTGATATTCTTGATAATTGCCATTCTGACTAGAGTAAAATGGAATCTTAGTGTAGTTTTTTTTTTTTAAGTTGTAGGTGACACAATACCTTCATTTTATTTATTTATTTTTATGTGGTGCTGAGGATCAAACCCAGAGCCTCACCAATGCAAGACAAGCGCTCTACCGTTGAACCACAGCCACAGCCCACTCAGTAGTTTTGATTTGCATTTCTCTAATTGCTAGAAATGTTGAATATCTTTTCATATATTTATTGATCAATTGTGTTTCTTTTTCTGTGAAGCGTCTGTTCAGTTCCTTAGCCCATTTACTGATTGGGTTATTTGTTTTTATGGTGTTAAGTTTTTTGAGTTCTTTATATATCCTGGAGATTAGTGCTCTATCTGAGGTGCATGTGGTAAAGATTTTCTTCCACTCTGTAGGCTCTCTCTTCATGGTATTGTTTCCTTTGCTGTGAAGAAGCTTTTTAGTTTGATTCCATCCCATTTATTGATTCTTGATTTTACTTCCTGTGCTTTAGGACTCTTGTTAAGGAAATCGGTTCCTAAGCCAACATGGTAGAGATTTGGGAGGATCCTATTTTAATCTATTTTGTGGAGATTGTTTTTTACTTTTGGTGGCTGTAATTTAGTTAATCACTTCTATTTTTTGTTTTTTAACAGTACTAGCGGTTGAACCTAGAGGCACTTAACCGCTAAGCCACATTCCCAGATCCTTTTTAGTTTTTATTTTGAGACAGGGTCTTGCTAAGTTGCTTAGGGCTTCTCTGAATTTCTGAGGTTGCCTTTGAACTTGTGATCCTCCTGCCTCAGCCTCCCAAGGCATTGGGATTACAGATAAGCACCTCCACTGCAGCCTCAGCCTTTTTTTGTAAGAGAGGTTGTCACTAAATCACAGTTGCCAAGGCTGGCCTGGAACTTTCAACTCTCCTGCCTCAGCATCCCCACTCTCTAGGATTTCGGGCATGTGCCATGGAACCTGGCTAGATGTTTTTTTTTTTTTTGGTTTATAGGTTTTAACCAAAAGAAGTAGTGGGCTGGGGCTGGGGCTCAGTGGCAGAGCACTTGCCTCGCACATGTGAGGCACTGGGTTCGATCCTCAGCATCACATAAAAATAAATAAAATAAAGATATTGCATTCATCTATAACTAAAAAATATTTTAAAAAGTAATGCTAGTATAAACTGTTTTAGATCATCTTTGTCTATGCCTATGATTATCTTTTTAGAGATAATGAACTACACCAAGACTCGTGGTATGTGTTACCAGATCATGCTCCAGAAGATTGTATGATACACACTCATTGTAGTATTAGAGGACTAGATTCCCTGTATCCTGCTTTGCACTAAAAACAATATGTTATTAAGACTTTTCTTGCTTAATGGGTAAAGAGTTGCATCTTGTTTTCATTTACAATATCAAATATGTCCTTGGAATCTTATATTCTTCTGTATTATTACGATGTATTTTCCTTTATTCCACCTGGACTAGTGTTTGAAAGTAATGTCTTGTGATATCTTGCCCTCTTTTTTGGTATTCTAATGGGGGCATTTTGATGAGCTATGTCAGTTGTCAGACTATATGTGTCAATGTTAATTTAAACTGTTTTTTACAACAGGTAGTGGACCATCTGGGGCAGTGATATGGGTCAGCAGACCACAGACCTCTACCCAAAGAGAAGAAGTACCTCTTAGAAGTGGGGACTTCAGCTCTCCTGGCAGATCTTTGTTTACACTCTAGAATGGCCCTGCCTTGCTGCTGGGGTTGGGAGTGGGGGGTTAGACAGGCATTTTAATGATGTTTTGACCCTGTTGTGTTCCAGTCTCTGTGTACTATAAACTTAAGATAAGACCATATCCTCTGCTTCCCTGTTAAAGGTCTGAGGGATGCTAGGTAGGGCTGAATTAGAAATGTCCTAACCAGATTGTCCTGAAGGCCAGAATAATGGCCTTCAGACACTAAAGGGGAGTGGGACTTGGGACATAAAGAAAAAAATTCAGTAAGTAGGAATGATGTTTTTTTTTTTTTTTTTTTTT